TTGTATACCATTCTGACCCTTACCCACACTTGTTTTCTGGAGTTCTGTGCTCCACTAACTCTTTTATTTTAATATTTCTTGATACTCAAGCTGTTCCTAATTCTTGCCTTGTAATACATGTAGTGTAGGGCCTGACTACACAGAGAGGATGGTGTGAACTGAGGCAGGATCAGAAATTAAAGCAGAACAGCTATTCCTCACTGAATGTTATTGTTTTAACTTAATCCATTCATATTGCGGATGGAATACTGACTGCATGGTGTAAAAGTGTCCACATGAGAAACTACTATGAAATAGCTGCTCCATGCTGCTTCTCCACATGAACAATTTACTTGTTTGTCTCTCCAACACAGCTGACAACAAACGGTCCTGAAATGTCATACTTTTACATTCTCATGATCCAATTTTCATTCTTTTATCATTCTAATAGATCCATAATTTGAGCCAAGAATATCTGAGAGGACTGATTGTACTGCCGCCGTAAAAATTCTTTTTCACTCTTTTGACCACCTCTCTTTTTGAATCTTTTGATTCCCCATAAGTTTAATAATCTTAATAATTCTCTTTCTTTTTGGATCATTAAAAATACTATTTGTTGAAGGATTTAATCTAGAATATTAATCAACTCTGGTCTTTTCTAGCCTTGATGGGAAAAATGTCACAAATTAATTCTTCAAGTGACATTAACATTGCATGTTCTTGGCAGAAATTCACCTCTCAGATGTTTCATTTTTAATTCTTTGCATGTTGCCTTGCATGATCAGAACTGACTGAAGACCAAGTGATGCATATCAAGGGGCATATACTGTTGCTTACCTGAGTTCAGTTGATAGCATAATTTTGTTTTCAGAATTTTTCTGTAGTTTGTATGCCACGCTAGATTTCTCCTAGCTGTATAATTTGGAGATGTAGATTGTCACACTTGTGCTGATTTCAATTTAATGTAAAATGAAGTCATGAAGACTTCATAATTTATTCCTGCAGTTTTGCCAGCTCAACCACATGTAGACCAAAACTGGAAATGTTAAAGAAACTGGCAGTAATTTGGAGGGTATCCCAAAATATAAGAAGGAGGATGTTCTGTAAGAGATGACTGGAGGAACTATGAACCACTCATACAGTCTTTAATGGACTTGTAGTTCATACTTGATCTCCTCACTAGACTTCTGAAGTTCTACTATGCTCATATTCAATTAAATGCTTCTGTTATCTAAAGTCTTTTCATATTCATGTTATTTAACTAACAATTTAAGGAAGAAGTTTCTCTTTTTGCTAGAAAACATTAAATTTTGCTGAAATACTGAATACTTTAGTATCTTTAAGCTTGAAGAAGAAGCTTTAAAATTTATGCCTTTTTTTGGAAGCATACTCAAGTTTTTATTAAGTGAATTTTTTAAAGAAAACAAATCAAAGGCTGTAATTTAGTATGGGCTGTCTTTCATTTCTTACAACAAGTTAGAAAACTAAAACCTTTTTTAGATTACACTGGCAGCAATGTATGTGAAAACCTCTTGGATTGCTGTTCCATCACCACATAGGTTATCGCACTTTGAAAACTGTCTTAATTTACTCAGGTCAAGTATTCTTCATAGTATTTTTTTAGCAGTCTACGTTAAAAAAGTTTAAGCATTTCATTTCGTTTCTCACCAGGCTTAACTGATACAGTTGTATTGCCAAGTTTAAAACTAATAATAGACACACTGTTATGATGTCAATAGTGAAAGAAAATCTCTTTTAGAATTTAAAATAAGTAATCTTTTTCTTTGGTACCAATAAGTGTATTATTTAGTTATATAATCTTTAAGTAACTGAGTTTTGTTGTTTGCATTAGAATCTCGTCCTTTGTCGCTTCCTGTGAAAACCATGCTGAACTCATCTGAAAGCTGCAGAAGTCCTGAAGAAAGAATGAAGGAATTTATTGGAATAGTGTGGAATGCAGTTAAGCGCCTTACACTTCAGGTAAGATGAAAAGGAAGTGCAAACCCCCCCCCCCCCCATGTCTTTCCAAACTTTATGGTACTTTTTATGCATCCTACTGCTTTTTATTGGAGGGTTTTAAAAGGAGCTGCCAAGGTTTATTGTCTTATTTCAGTAGTTTCAAAGTCTTCGAGAATGAAAAAATAAAATATAGATTTTTGGTAAATTAAGCAAAGAATGCTTTGGTTTTAGAATATTAGTTTTTGAAATACTTTTTTATATCTAAGGGGAAGAGCCATAAAAAATTATATGAAGAAATGCTTATCACAATTTTCTGTATTATAAACATAGCTATACACCTTTTTATCCGTAGTTAAATTTGCAGAATATCTTCCTTTCTAAAAATATTTGAAGGAAGTGTGTATGACAAATACTTTCTTGGGGAGTGTGATACAGTATGGTGTTGTACAGCAATGGCTCAGCTTCTTACTTGTCTAGCGTTTCATAAAGGACAAGTAGATGACCACTCAGATGAAACCAATCTAGACTGCTCTAGATTGCGATCGCTGATCCATAAAAGCAGAGTTTTCATGTAGCAGTATGTATGCATGCTGTACATGAAAAAGGCCATGTTAGACATCCAGTGTTAAGATTGCACGATCAAATACCAGATGGCTTAGAAATGCTAGAATTAGGACTCTCTTCTTCCAAGTACTTCCAAGTATATATCAAGTGCCTGCTTAGAAATTACCTTAATTTAGAATTATTATAATCTCTGCCTTTTGAACAGTACAGTCTATGAGGTTGGTGTTTTATGGTACACCAGTGTATAGTAGTAAAACTGGTTTTGTTTTAAAATACAAAAAAACCCCAAAACCCCCCAAAACAAAGAAAACCTCACAAAACCACTTATTTCTGACAGAAAGTAATCATTGAATGCCTGATCTTTCTTCCTACCAAGAAATATATTTGTTTATATATAGGCTTATCCCAGAACCTGTGTCTGTTTTAATCCTCTTTCGTGCAGAAAGTACTTTGGGTTCAAAATATTAGAATTTTGAAAGTTTTAAGTTTTGCCTGACCAAGAACTTCAGACTTGTGACTTAATTGCAGAACATACTGAAGTTGAGGAGATGCTTTCAATTAACTCTATTTAGTTTTCAGCCAGCTTTTTCATCTTTGTTTCATGAGTATTTTGCTTGGTTTTCTTTCTTAATGTTGTCACCACTGGAAATTAAAAAGGCTAGATAAGGGAATAGATAAGCAAGAGAGATAATTTGTAAGGTGTTTGAAGGAAGCCATGTATTTTTGTTATGTATCTGGGTGATACCTAGCTCAGTGAGACCCCCTATATAAATGAGGCTTACAGTTTGAGCTTGAATTAAAACAATAATATAAAAATGAAGATGATGAAGAGCTGGATCCTTTATAAATGGGGAAAACTGAATCAGGACTGAGATATTCTGCTCGTACGTTTTTCAAGGACGCTTTGTTACATGAGCAACCAGCAAAGTGAATTTGTTTTGAAGAATGGTTAAGAAACTGACCAGCTGAAAATGAAGTTTGCCTGTGACTAAATAGAGGAAAAAAAAAAGGTTTTGTTCAAACTAGTGGGTTTTTTGTGGAGGTGAAGGCTGATGACAGTAATAGGCACATGTTTTCTCAGAGAGTGATTTGTAATTATATCACTGCTCTGACATATTACACACAGATTAGAGCTAGTACTGGCAGAGGATTTTTTTTTGTATTAGGTATTCTTTCTGGTGTTTGGGGTTCTACTTTTTACAGGGTTTTTTGGTAAGGTACTCATGCTTTCACTTTTTGCCATTATGAATATAAAATTGTATTTTTATTTTTAATCTATGTTAAGATTAAATGGCCCTATGAATTCATACAACAGCTTACACACTTCTGATATGTTTCATCCTTATGCTTTGATCATACTTGGTTAAGTATATGCCAAAATCTTGCCACAAGGACGTTACATGTTACCTGTGAAAAGTTGCAACAGATTCCAAGGAAACACCACAGAAGTCTGAGAACATGCTTCCAAACAAATATGCAGTATTCCTTCTTAGTGAAATATGAAGGATTTATAGATGTGCTTGCTGTTCTTTTTATTATTGCTAGTAGTCCCTATGTCTGTTTTATTTAAATGTTTTTCAAGACACAAGTGCATATATATATAAAACCTTTTTCCTTCAAGACTGGCCTAAATGGGAAAGCTGAAATTTGTGCAAGGCAATGTATAGAGGATAAGAAGATGAGTGTTATAACTCTGTTTTTCAATTCAAGTACAGCATAAAATATTTTTATTTTATTAAATGTAGTATGTATTTTATTAAACGCATACATGTATTTATATGAAAAATTCATACAGATTTTCTGTATTTTATTATCAGTTGGCATGAAAAAAAGCAAATTTCTTGAATATTTTGCCTGGTTAAATGGCGGAGCACTTAGACACTAAGGTTTTTTCTAAAGCTAGTTTCATGTTCCTGGATCTCTTATTAACACGATTGTAGAACAGAAAAGTCTGTAGTTGTCGTCAGATAAAACAGAACTTCATAACTTAAAATCATCAAAGGATTATTCTTTTACTTGAAGTTTGAATAAGTAAATGTGTTTGGAACCAAAGTAACTGGAAAGTTTATTTTGGATCCAAAGCTGGTACTTGCTTAGCCCTAGCCCTGGCTTGCTCATGATAGAATATTGCATGGAGATTTTGTGTGTTGGAGTTGTGGTAAGCTATTAGTATTTAAGTGAAAAGACTTTCATACTTAACTGTAAAAAGTTGTTTTTATTATTTAGTTGTTGTAGGATTTTATGTGTAGCCTTGAAGATTTTTTGGCAGTTAGACTGTGTAGGAGCGTAATACTTACTTCTCACATGTTCTTCATACTAATAGTTGCTAAAATTGTGGAGCAGTGTAAACACAATTACTTTTAATAGGTCGTTAATGCTGAGTTCCAGTGAGAACAATGAAGGATCTGTATTAAAAGCAGATTAATTAATGAGTAATATTGCAATGAATGCCAACTAAGAAAGACTGTAATTATTATATATAAAACTTAGCCAGATATTCCACATGCCTTTAAATATCCCTGAAATTATTTGAAGGAAAAAAAAAGTGTTTCCTGAAATTATTGAAAATAATATTTTCTTTAAAGCATGTAACTTGTACAAAATTTTAGTCAGTGAAACATTGATTGAAAGAACAGAAACTTACGGATGAGATTGACTAGAGTTCCTGTTCTTTGAACAGTGGTCTTTATTCATGGGGCAGGAAGAGATTCTGTGAACTGTAACTTAGCAGTTACAGCTATCAGCAGTTATTCAGCAGTTATGAGATAGGATGATTTGTTAGATTGGTTACTTACCACAAAGTGACAAAAGAATAAAATTTTCCAAGCTTTCTTAGAAAAGAATAAGAATACTCTGAAGTGCTAAGACATTGTGTTTTAAGTACTCAAAGAAAATGCAGCTGATCCTTATTATACTCATTTGTATATACAGATAGGCTGCTCTCCTAGTTCTCTTACTCACGTGCTCTGCTTTCCATTTATATAAATTTTACTTTTTGTCTAACTTCAAAACATTAATTTCTGGCCTGCGTTTTTAAATTCTAACAAACAGTGTGTGACTGGCTCAGCTGCAGATGGTCTAATTGGGTAGAGCTAATTTGTACATCAGGGGCTGAGGTATGGTCTCATAGTAGTGACCGCACCATCACCCCTACCTGAGACATGTGACGGTGGTTCTTTGGAGTTTTGGGAGTCATTGTGAGATTATATTCTGTGCCTGAAACTCCTAGAAAAACACATTAGCCTTTCTGCTGAGAGCATACAATGAATGATTAGTGTGGAGAGGGACCACTTCCAAGGAGACACCTTTATATGAGTGTCACCTTATGGGTCATCTTCAATGCCTCTAATGGGTTTGTATTTCTATACAATGTGGGTTAAGGAAGGGAATCTCCTTATGGTATCACTATTGTGAAAGGCTGTAAAGACTCTTGTACAACCTGTCCCTCTTCATTGCACTTGTGCAGGATAACTGTGGCATTCCACTTGTTTTGTGACAACCCTGCCACTCCTCAGTTAGGAAGACCTAATTCTTCTGCAGTATATATTTCACTGTTCTCTCTATCGAGCAACATTCTCTTTTTATAGAACATGAATTAAAAATACTCCATTTATTCCAGTAACTTAATACTTTCCTTTTTATACAACAGAGTCTTAAAGTCATTGCACTTTTTTAGGCTTATATATTGGTAAAAGCTTAGAGCAATATGCTTTGTGTAACTTTTTAAAAGTAGAAGGGAAAATACTGCTTACTTCGTTGGTTTATCGTTAGTGTGTTACTTAGCATGTATAGGCCTTGACATAATAGAAATGAAAATAGGGGGTGATTCTGTTTCAAGAATTTGTAATAATTCCTTCTCTTTAATACATGAATGTGTTCAGAATTGGCAAAAGAACACGTTGCTACCAAAACTGAAATAAGATCCTTGAAACAGAAAGGATGTTGCCATGGAAAAATGAAGTAACACTCAGTGCAGCTGCGAAGCATTAATGAATAGGATATTTTTTTAAAAGATCATTTGTGTTTGGTGTGGCTTGGAGGGTCCCAGCCAGATGGTTTCCATGAACAGGATCTGACCCCCAGCTTGAGGACTTCTTACTGGCAGATTACTTCATTTTCTTTCCCTTGGATTGTCAGATCCTTACATTAATGCAAGATTTAGTGCTGCAGATTTATATTCAGTTACATAAATCAGTCACATTTTACATTAAATTCAAAATTTTAGACACACAGTTTAACAGTTATTTAAAAAGTGTAAAAAGATTTATTTGATAGCTTTAATATATGCTATTGATGTAGTTTAATTTTAAGAATTTGGATTACATATATTTTAAAGCACTTTCCAATTGGTGAAGCAATCTGTAGTGCACATTCTCACTTTTGTCCAACATATAACTCCATCGTTTTAGGTGCACTCTTCCATTCTTTCACTGGAACTTGTTATTAGACAGATCTCCAGATTCTGTCAGATAAATGTACACAAATTCTGTTAAAGTTGATAATTGGGGGTAAGCAGAATCTGCCTCTGAGAAGTTCAATAGGTGCAATCCAATTTTGAACTTATTGAGCCTTTGTGCATCCCAGTTGTCAGTTTCTTATGTAATTATAATGATTACATGATATGCCCTAAAATGTGAAATTTTGCCATATGTTCATTGCGTTGGCCTTTGAAATCCTGCAATAATGTTTCACAAAATCAATGTATTCATATAAAACTCAAAATGAAACACAGGTAAGCAAACCGTATCTGTAAGCAAATCTGTAATATTACATATGAAGGGTCTGATGCTATCCTGTAAACGCCACCAAAATTCGTGGTCCAACTCAGATTCCGTTACTTGAAAATGAATGGCAAAGTAGCCATTCCCTCAGGCATTTGAAGGACTGAAACTGTTGTGATTCCACTTCAATATTCTTGATATGGCAAAATAAAATAAAACAAAAATGATCTGAAGAACTTGTCTTCAATATGAAGCTGTACTGAGTTGTAAATTAAGTGTAAAAACTCTACTGAGTATGAGATCTCTTCTCAAGAGTACTTTGTAAAACATCTCCTGTAGTTCCTGCTGCTGGTAAGTGATGAAGTATAGTATCTCTCCAAGTTGGTGGAATTTTTGGATGATTATTGCCACATGGTTTGTATATCCAGGCAGCACTTGATGTTAATAGTCATGGATATATATATGTGAAGAATGAATGATTTGTTATAAACTGTTTACTCAGCAAATGCACTGATAAAACAAAAGTTATACTGGTTATAAGTTCTTTTGTCATCTATTTATCATTATCCCACAACGGCTTGACCTGAAGCCTATTACTAATAGACCAGAAAACAATCTAATGTGTCACTGTAAAAATCTTTGCAAATTGACACAATGACTAATTTACCAGTTTAAAAAAAAAAATCCAAATCTATTACATCTGTAACCATACAGTGTTGGTTTTCATCCAGTATAAATAAAGTACACTCTGCAACCTTGGATCAATAAACTACTTATCAAAGATGTAATTAACTTCATTTTACAACTCAAACAGTTCTAAAACTAGAAACAAACACAGACTTCATGTAACAATGTATTTATTTTTGCAAAATTCTACTTATATTTTTCTGCAGTGAATTCTTGTCAGTTTGTCTAAGCAAAAGGGAAAAAAAATGCTGAAATAAAGATGAGTATCTTTCTCCTCACTAGACTGGCAATGTACTTACGGTGCTGGGAAATTCCAGCTCTACTGCAAATTGTGGTCTTGAGGGACTATTAGCCTTCAGGGAGGGTGTGGAGTACAAACCTTGGTTATCAGTTTTAAGCTGTGATGTCTTTAATGTTGTCAAATTGAAAGACTCCATTATGTAAGTTTACAGCAAACAAATGTTCTTTTATCACAGCTACAAATAACAGCTTGTGTCCAACATTTTGTACACTAGGCTTTTCCAAACAATGTGAAGAAATGAACTGAATCATAGCTTGTAGTCTCTTAACAAAGCGTTCAAGTGTGCAGGCTGTTAGGGCTATCTGATATCCAGGTGCAGAATGTTACTTGTAAGAGCCAAGGAAGGCTTAACAGATTGCAGCTTGTACCACCTCTGAGTTAACAAGTCATGATGAGTTCAGTTCTTGGTTTGGGCCCACTCAACCTTGCTACGAGCTCATAAGGAGATGGCAGAATGGTCAGAAATGTTCCAGGGTAACAGCATTGCTTGAAAATAAGCAACAAAAATGTTCTATTTCATAGGAAATCATATGCACTACTGATTTGTGATGAAAACAGAACAAACGCTGTATAAACTTTGTGAACTTTATTAATTTCTCTTTCTCTGTGTATGTATGCACCTGTCCGCTTGTTTTAACATCGATTTTTCACTAGTTTATATTTTTCCTAGTTTATCTGATGATTAACCTTTTTGTACATTCTCATTAGTGTTCACTACAAAGACAAGACAGAATTTTCCCTGAAATAGGTCTTTATACAAGGTAACAGCATATAAAATGTTGGTTAGTTTAGAGGCTTAGCTATTGCTAACAAAAGCTAATGAACTGCAAAAAGAGGAGGGCTTTCTCAGCTTTATTGTAAGAATATTTTCTGACTCTATTATGCTTCTTGTAAAAAGCTGTTGAAATAGAGATAGAAGTATGTCCAGTTTATGTGGCAACACTTTACTGGTCAAATTTACAGACCAAAATCACAATTCTTCTTCCCTCCCCTCCCATAATCACAATTTACAAGAATATATTATATTCCAACAACTTGTGTCTTCTTTTATCTTAATTCAACTAAAAGGTAAGGCTATATTCAGTCAGCTCTGATGGATGAGTAAATTGAGATTTTTGAGATGAATATTCCGCATCAGGATGGGGCGGGGGAGGAAATGGTAAAGCTGTTTCTGAGAAATCTTTCTTGGCTTTGTTTTTTCAGCTTCAAGTGCAATCTTGTTGTGTATTCCTTCCAAATGATAGTCTGCCTTCCCCAAGTACTATTGTATCGGGTGACATTCCTGGGACTGTACGAAGCTGGTACCATGGGCAGGCCAGTATGCCTGGCACACTTGTAATCTGCTTGCCCCAGATAAAGATTATGAGTGCTGGACACAAACACATGGAACCATTGCAGGAAATCCCTTTTGTTGTGCTGAGACCCATCCTGGAAGAAGGTAGTGTGATAAACTCAAAAAATCTTGTTATTTTAATTTCTGTTTTTTAATGTTATGAAAATTGGCTTAATTTCATTTTGAAAACTTCTGATGTTGTGCTGCTTTTTCAGCAGTATGTTGTGTGTTGCTGATTGCTGAAAATACTAATGGCAAAGTTTGCCCCACGGAGGTCAGAGTGAAACTCATCATCAAAGAGCTAGTTCTGTGATGTGTTTTGGATGTTTGTTGAAGCCAAAAGAATTGAGAAGTGTAATTTTTGCCATCATTGGTTTTGTCATTCAGGTTACTGTGTAGCCACAAACAGTTGGTTTCACACAACAGAAGGGAGTAGTGAGTTGTGAATACCAAGACAGAATGGTGGCAGATTAGGAAAAACCTCTCATGCCATGTTTGCTGGGGGGAGGGGGGGTGTAAAAAAAAATAGTCTTGGACCTAACATTCGGACTGGATATTAGGAAAAGGTCTTCACTGAAAGGGTGGCCGGTCACTGGAACAGGCTCCGCAGGGAAGTGGTCACGGCACCAGCCCTGTCAGAGTTCAAGATGTGTCTGGATGATGCTTTTAGTTGTATGATCTAGTTTTAGGTAGTCCTATGAGGAATAGGGAATTGGGCTCTATTGTCCTTACGGGTCCCTTCCAACTTGAGGTATTCTATGATTCAATCTCAGATAAGAAAAGAAATTAAAAAATATAGCAGACTATCAAAAGAAAAGAATGAAAATTTATTGGTGTTCATGATAGGCAACAACTGTGTTCTGTTTGTGTCTATAGAGATTGTAGCAAGATTTTCGCGGAGATTTGAAGAAAAAATTTGAGAAGGTTTATACAAGTGTTTACAGGGGAATGCTTTTGTGCATAGCCCAAGGATGAGAAAAAATATGGTGGTTATTATTTGAAAAGTTAGTATTTGATACAGGTTTAAGTTGTAGACCAATCTGAGGGAAGAATCAGCTTTTAACATTCCGCAGCTGATTGAGAAATGAAAGGAGGGGATAAGCTGTAAAGGACCTAGGAAGTGAAAACAAGCTGCTTATGTTCAATACCATTTTTTTTTTAAAATAGAGCCCTTAGAAATTATCAGAGTAAATGGTAAATGGATTTGCAGCAGTATTCTGAATGAATACTGATGTAAAAATCTTATTCTACAGATATTCATATGAAAAATTGTGTATTGGAAATAGAGGGGAGGCAAGTATCCCTAACAGTCTTAAGTGTTGAGATTTGGGTTTATTTTAATGACATACATGAGATCTCGCCTCATAACCAAGTTTAAAATTTCATGGAAATGCCAGTTGCTGTGATTTAACGCCAGCCAGCAGCTCAGCCCCACACAACCACTCGCTCACTCGCCATTAGTGAGATGGGAGGAGAACTGTAAGGGTGAAATTGAGAAAACTCATGGGTTGAGATAAAGACAGTTTAATAGGTAAAGCAAAAGCTACACATGCAAGCACAGCAAAATAAGGAATTAATTTCCTACTTCACTTCAGCAGGCAGGTGTTCAACCATTTCTGGGAAAGCCAGGCCCCATCATACGTAACAGTTACTTGCGAAGGAAAATGCTGTAACTCTGAATGTCCTTCCGCTTCCTCCTTCCCCCAGATTTATATGCTGAGCATATGCCATATGGTATGGAATAACCCTTTGGTCAGCTGGAGTCAGCTGTCCCAGCTGTGTCCCTTCCCAACTTCTTGTGCACCCCCAGCCCACTTGCTGGTGGGGTGGTGTGAGAGGCAGAAAACACCTTAACACTGTGCAAGCACTGTTCAGCAACAACTAAAACATCCCTGTGTTATCAATGTTTCCATCACAAATCCAAAACATAGCACCATACCAGGTATTATGAAGAAAATTATGTCTATCCCAGCCAAAACCAGTACGTTAGTGTACAGTTAGTTCATTATTTGTATTCTTGAACTGTATTATTTGGAAAGAATTGTTGCTGTTTTGCATTTTTGCTCTAAGATGAAGAGAGGGAGATGCAGCAATTGTTCCATTGCTTTTGTGACAGCATTTTCTGGGAAAGTTACTCTGTTTTCTGCGTACTTATTGCTGAAACATAAACAATTGTTAAGGGTATGCTATGAAAAAATTAAGTCAAAAGCACATTCAAGAGCTACTCCTGCTCCTGCCATGTGAAATTCATTTGGATTTAGCACAGTGTTTTCCCTCTTCCCTTGTTCTGCCACTTACATTGGACCCTTCTCCTTCCTGTGTTTTACCTTAACTCACAGCCACAAAAATAAAACTGTATTTTTTAATACTGAAAGTCATATTAGAGATGCTGCCAACTGAAAGGGGAAAAAAAACGGGAAAAAAAGAAAGAGAAAGGTGTATGTGTTTTTCCTAATAACTTGCAGTAGGAATGATCTAATTTGCTCATCATAGCGACGGATAAAAGATAAATAAATTTAACCAAAGTCTTTTGTTTGTTTTGAACTGATGATGTAATTTAAACCGTTTATGAAAGTAAGAAGTCATTTGAATTTTGTGAAACCCAGATTTGAAGGAAAGATCCTAGTGAGAGAAAAGAATCCCCCTGCTTGGGATAGAGCCTGTGGTAAGGAATCTATTTGTGTGTGGCTTTGTGTTCTGGGAATAATGCCAAACAGAAGTTCTCACAATCTTGATATTTTTGATTCTCTAATGGAGCTGTTTCCTTCTCTCATGCCAAAACTCCCCCTTAAACAGACTATTAAAAAGTTTTTTCAAAGCTTTTAAATAATCTTCTTTGTTTCTTCCAATGTAGAGGTAAATATTTTTTATGGACTTTTATTGGGAGAGTCTCTTAATTTGCATTCTGTCTGTGAACAGCACGTCAGTACATACTTTAATTCTTAAGACGTGTCACCATCGCTCTGAAATTATATTTATTCAACCTTGCTTTTCCTGGAAACTATTTTTTTACTTGTTCCTCCTTTTATAAAAGAGCTGTAAGTTAAAAGCCTTGTTTAAAGGATACATTGTTATTTTTAAGAAATCTGTGTGCTCACTCCTGTATTTTCCTTATTACATGAAAAACTAAGAGAGGAGAAAAGGGAGCAATGTCACGTTGTCTTTTGGGGATGTTGCAGCCTACTCACAGAGGCTGACCTCAGGTTGTTAACATACTGTAAAGATAAGCTGTACAATGTCCCACAGTCAGGTCTTTCTGTTTGTTTTCAGAATTCTGATACATACATTTCTTTTCTGAGGTAATTGTAGTTTGTAGGAATACTTAAAAGAACATTTTAAGTAGAGTACCTCGATTCAGAAATGTAACTTTGCTTAATCACACTAGGCAACATACGAACAGAAATGGATTTGTCTATGTAAGGAACGAGATGTTCTATTGAACTTCTGTTGAATAACAAATACAACTAAATAAGTTCTTTAAAAGGTATTAACTTACATTAAGTATTATCTTGATAGTTCAAATCAATCAGATGATAGATCCATGAGGTAGTATTCACTGAGGATTTTAAAACAGAATCATAGAGCAGCCCAGGTTAGAAGGGACACTGAATGATCATCTGGTCCAAATTTTCATGGCAAAGGGAGCCTAAATGAGATTATCCAGCACCCTGTCCAGTCACCTCTTGAAAATCTCCACATCCCTGGGGAGGTTGTTCCAGTGAATGGTTGTTCTTACTGTGAAAAATTCTTTTCTTCTATCAAGGTGAAACCTTTTCTGGTGCAACTTGTACCTATTGCCCCTTATCTTCTCCATTTTGGCTCCTTGTGAAGAGGTGAACCTCTGTCTTATTTGTAGCTGCCGTTTAAGTAAAATTGACACTAAGAAGAAATTAAATAGCTAGAAACTCAGTTTGGGCAGAACTGAAATGTTTAGAGAACTACTTGGGTGAGTTGTGACTTTCTGTGCATGCTTGTGCACATCCAACTTCAAATACTTGACAATTCATCTGTATGCTCTCGAAGTCCCAACCTATAGTGATGGAGTAAAATGTAGTAAATTTACAGTTGGACAAAATATGTTGTTGTGATCAGGACTTCTGGACTGCTGAGTAGTCTTCCAAAAATATAAGATGTTATAATAGGAAAATAAATTGAAGACATGAAGGGAACTAAAATTTTTATTCGGTTAAAGCACTAAGTTGTAGAGTAATAATGAGAACATTTTTGGCATCTCTGAAATCTTCCTGCATATAGAAGTTTACATTTCTAATTATTTTAATTTAGAATGTTTTCCTGGGTCCCACTCATATTTTTAAACATAGTTACTGCTTTATTTAGTCTGTTCTGCCTGCTTCAATCCTTTCTTTTTTTTTTTTTTTTTAAATAATCCTTAACTGACACATCTGACACATGTAAAATGTTCCTCTTTGGGTTCATAACAGTAACTTTTATGAATCTTTGTAAAAATGTTTGATTAGGCAGGTACAGTAAGATATAGATATGTAGGTAGGATAGTAAAATACATTTTAGAAACCGATGTTCAAAATATCTTAAAATTGTTGTTGATATTGCTAGATAGCAGTATACTGACAGTCATGTAAATCACTGTATTCCAAACATTTAAATCTGAGAGATGGCTTTTGTTTGTGAAATATGATGAATTATATGACCTCACGGATTTTTGTAGTGTATTGTTTAAACTCAGTAAGGTGTCAAGTGACTTCTAGGGAAATAGTAAAACAGAAAATTAGGGTTTCTATTACTAGTGTGTGAATTAATTATAATGAAATGTATTGGTCATAAACTACTACAATATAATAGAAGCATATAGTTTTCAACCTGCAAAAAAGACAGTGAAATGTTTAAAGTAGAGCAGCAGTATGTTGGCATTCTTAGAAGATAATCATCTTGCATTACATTTTAAAAAATGCTCTACTTCAATTTAATAACTGAAAAATAATTTCTGTAAATTGTAAGGTAAATATTTGACATTCAAATAGTGTACTATTTGAGTTTATATTCGATGTAAAAAATAGTAATTATTGCATGTCTTGGTTTGAAAGACAGGTGTCTG